CCTAACTTAAGTTAGCTAATAAACTGTCCTATTGCATTTGCATTGTCGTGGGTTGGCATATTCTTCTCTTCCCAGCATCTCCTTTACAGCCTGGGTACAACAAAACGCATAAGCTCTTCAGTCTTCCTTATTCATTGTCCAGCTCTCACATGCATGGAGGCGATTGAAAATACCATGGCTTGGGTTAGGAACATCTTAGTCTTCAAGGAGATATCTTTACTCTTCAGTACTTGAAAGAGGTTTTTTTGCAGCAGATTTGCCCAAAGCAAGATGTCTTTTGATGTCTTGATTCCTGCTTTCATTGGCCTTGATTGTAGAATCAAGTAATATGAAGTTTTGACAGTTTCAAACTTTTCTCCATTTATTGCTATGCTGCTTATTGGTCCAGATGTGAGGATTTTTGTTTTCTTTATATTGAGATGTAATGCATACTACAGACTGAATTCGTTAACCTTCATCAGTAAGTACTTCAAGTCATCCTCACTTTCAGTATGCAAAGTTGTGTCATCTGCATATCTCAGGTTGTTAATGAGACTCCTCCAATCCTAATTCCACATTCTTATTCATGTAGTCCAGCTTCTCAGCATATAGATTGAATAAGTGTGGTGAAAGTATACAATTCTGACACACTCCCTTCCTGATTTTAAACCATGCAGTATGCCCTTGTTCTGTTAGAATGACAGCTTCCTGGTCTATGTACAGGTTCTGCATGAGTACAATTAAGTGTTCTGGAATTCCCATTATTCTCAATGTTAGCCATAATTTGTTATGATCCACACAATTGAATTCCTTTTCATAGTATATAAAACACAAGTAAACATCTTTCTCGTATTCTTTGCTTTGAGGCAACATCCATCTGACATCATCTATGATATCCCTCATTCCACATCCTCTTCTGAATCCAACTTGCTTTACTGGAAGTTCTCTGTCAATATACTGCTGCAACCGTTTTTTAATTATTTCAGTAAGATTTTACTTGCTTGTGATATTGATACTGTTCAATAATTTCCATATTGTGTGGGACCACCTTTCTTTGGAATGGGTACAAATATGGATCTGTTCCAGTCAGTTGGCCAGGTAGCTGTCTTCCAAATCTCTTGGCACTGCCGAGTGAGTGCCTCCAGCGGGACATCTGTTTGTTGAAACATCTCAGTGGGTATTCTGTCAATTCCTGGAGCCTTGATTTCTGCCCATTCCTGTAGTGCAGCTTTGACTTTTTCCTTCCATACCATCGATAATTGATCATATGACACCTCCTTAAATGGATGAATATCAACCAATTCTTTTTGGTATAGTGACTCTGTGTATTCCAATCACCTTCTTTTGATATTTCCTGCATCATTCAGCATATTGCCCATAGAATCTTTCAGTATTGCAATTTGAGACTTAATTTTTTTCCTCAGTTCTTTCATTTTGAGAAATGCCAAGTGTTCTTCTCTTTTGGTTTTCTAACTCCATGTTTTTGCACATTTAATTATAATAATTGACTTTGTCTTCTCTAGCTGATCTTTGAAATCTTGTCTTCAGCTGTTTTATCTTGTCATTTTGTCCATTTACTTTAGATACTCTCCATTCACGGGCAAGTTTCAGAGTCTCTTCTGACATCCATTTTGGTCTTTTTTTTTTTTCTTTCCTGTATTTTTAATGGCCTCTTGCTTTCTTCATGGATGATGCTCTTAATGTCATCCCACAATTCCTCTGGTTTGAGGTCATTGGTGTTCAATGCATCAAATTTATTCTTTAGATGGTCTCTAAATTCAGGAGTGATATAATCAAGGTCATATTTTTCCTCTTGTGGACTTCTTTAATTGTCTTCAAATTCAACTTAAATTTGTATATGAGCAGTTGATGGTCTCTTCCACAATCAGCTCCTGGCCTTGTTTTGGCTGAGGATATTGAGCTCCTCCATCACTTCTTGCCACAGATAAAGTCTATCTGATTCCTGTGTAGTCCATCTGGTGAAATCTGTGTGTATAACCACCATTTGTGTTGTTGAACATAAAAAAAGTGTGTACAATGAATAGGTCATTGTTCTTACAAAATTCTATCATGTGATCTCCAGCATTATTTCCACCAAGGCCATATTTTCCAACTACTGGTGATTCTTCTTTGTTTCCAATTTTTGCATTCCAATCATCACTGGTTGGATGTTCAGTCAATTTTAGACTGCAGAAATTGGTAAAAATTTTC